CAAGACATGGATTCTGCTACTGAAGAACTCATCATCCTATACGTTAACGTGGACTGAGATCAACTTTCTCCTTTTGATATAAGATAGTAAGGCACAAAGCTGGAGGTGTTTGGGAAGGACTGACTATAACAATAAAAATATAAGGTATTAGAGAAATCCCTTTGTTTTAAATATAAATAACTGCTTCTCTGTTTGCTATCCTAGAGAAACTAGAGCAACTGGGTGGTTATTTTAGAAGCTGCCCTGTTTTTCTCCCTTACAAAGATATACAAATTCTACTTGAAGTAACTCCTCCAGCCCTACAAATAGACATTTGGCCACTTAGGTTAAAAAACACAAATATGAGAACTAGCCATCCTGGGCTACTGGAAAAAGCAATCAATCAACAAATTTTGTCAATGGCATCTCTTGTCAGAGGAAAAGAATATGAGGTAATGCACCCCAAAACTGTTTTCATATTTATCACAAACTTTAGTAGCCTGCATCAGTGAGGTAGTTTGAAAGAGATGTAAAGTTACAGATGTGTGGACATTATAACCAGATTCCACCTCCATGTTTCCCATGATAGAAACATACATTCTGCCGAAAGCAGGGATTTCACTTTTAATCCTATGCATATGATAAAGTTTCACCCATCATCCCTAAAGTATACACATGTTGATGTTTTCATAGTAGCTGCAAGGGATTTGCAGCCAAACATCTAGCATCCCTTACTGTTCCCCTTTGAAAAGGTCAAACTTGGCTGGCCTTCATAAGCACTGAAGCTGCAACCTTCATCAGGAGCATAACAGACTTAGCTGGTCATCAACAATTTCATATGCTTCTAGCTGCAAGACAAAAGCAATGACTCAGGCTGCACCCAGGGTGCAATGGAAACACAGGGAAAAATGTCCAAATCAAACAGCATACATGCGCATTTTCCCAAGGAAATGCTTCTCTTACAGTGTCCTAGGGTTATTTCTGTTATCATTGTTTTGCTTTGCTGTTTAAAAAAAAAAAAATTTTTTTTTTTTTTTTTTTTTGAGATGAAATTTTGCTCTTGTCGCCCAGGCTAGAGTGTAATGGCACAATCTCGCTTCACTGCAACCTCTGCCTCCTGGGTTCAAGCGATTCTCCAGCCTCAGCCTCCCAAATAGCTGGGATTACAGGCACGTGCCACCACGCCTGGCTAATTTTTGTATTTTCAGTAGAGACGGAGTTTCACCATGTTGGCCAGGCTGGTCTCGAACTCCTGACCTCAGGTGATCCACCCACCTCAGCCTCCCAAAGTGCCAGGATTATAGGCATGAGCCACCGCACCCAGCCACTGTTTAAAATTTATGTGCCATTACCTAGTTGATGGGGACCTTTACAACAGAAGATATCTCCATCAAACCATACTAGTGAATATGGCCAACATTTGTCTGATAGCAAAAATTCATGTGAAAAAATTCATTAGCAATCTACAGGACTATATGAAACTTACAGGTATGCTTTGAATACATAAAAAGACTTCTGGCATGGCCAAATTAAGACCTCTAGAGATTGTAATATGTGAAGAGATAAAACCTATCCTACACACCCCCTGCCATGTGTACTGAAAAATACATTTTATGTGTGCCAAAATTAAAGTTGCTTTGTCTAGACTTTTTAATGGCAAAATTCTAGATAATTTCATGCAAGCAAACTTTTTTCACTTTTTAATGCCTCTGATTTACCAGCATGGGCTTTAACTGCCTGCTAGATAACCCAGCGGATGTTGGGTGGTCAGCTTGGCCTCCTCACTACTAGGTGTGAGATTAAAACTCATACCTCTGTGAAATCGCCAAAGATGATGTGACATGGACTTTTGATAAACTTCTTCCAGGGGATACAACTCATGAGCTTAAACAAAATTAGTTAAAGGTCCTGCTTTGACCAAAATTGAACTAATTTCAAGCCCACAGGTCAGTGGACCCCTGGATTGCTCAACTAGGGTGAAGTCAAAGGGATTCTGGCCCAAAAAACTTCATGTAGAACAATTGAGAAGTTTCAGGGGTTTTTTTTTGTGGGTGACATGCTCTCCTTCCTAAGGCATTACCCAGCATGATTGTGTTTTGCTGTGACTAAACCCCAATCCAGGCTCTAGCCCAGAGCTGAATATTTAAAAACTGGAAGGCTGAAGACATATTACCAATAAGTTGGGAGGTAGCTCCCTGAAGTTGCCTTCGAACACCTAGAGAAGAGGAAGCACAGAAACAAACATCTAGCAGAGGACATGGCTTGGAAACTAGACATTCTTCTTGTTGACTGACTAGTTACTTAACACTTACTGAGTAATTATCAGAAACCTCTTTCTGACTTGCTCCCTGTGAATTAGCTTATGGTATTGTTGATGACCGGTTCAGAACAATCAGACACAGCAAATATTCTCCTTCTGCAAGTAGGTCTTATCTTAAAACAGGTCTCATCCCACGGTACAGTTTTAAAAATTCTCTGCCTATGGCAAAGTTTGTTTGTATGTTCAGCTATAAATACATTCATCAAACAAGTACTTATTTTGTGCCTACTAAGCACCATAAGCTGACCTGGGCACTGAGGGGATGTCAGGAAGCAGCAAGGACAAGGTCCCTACTCATGCTGGGTTAGGGAAGAGTCCTAAGCCCAGTGAACTGGGAACTGGTCATATCTCACCAGGGAGGGCTCGCTCGCTCTCTCCTTCCTCCCTTCCTTCCTTCCTTCCTCCCTCCCTCCCTCCCTCCCTCCCTCCCTCCCTTCCTTCCTTCCTTCCTTCCTTCCTTCCTCCCTCCCTCTCTCTCTCTTTCTTTTTTTGAGATAGATTCTTACCCTGTCGCCCAGGCTGGAGTGCAGTGCTGCAATCTCCGCTCACTGCAACCTCCACCTCCCAGGTTTAAGCAGTTCTCCTGTCTCGGCCTCCTGAGTAGCTGCGACTACAGGCACCTGCCACCACACCTGGTTAATTTTTGTATTTTAAGTAGAGAGGGGGTTTCCTCATGTTGGTCAGGCTGGTTTCAAACTCCTGACCTCAGGTGATCCACCCACCTCGGCCTCCCAAAGCGCTGGGATTACAGGCGTGAGCCACCGCGCCTGGCCAGCACTTTCTTTTAGAGATTATTTTATAATGAAAAGGCCATTCAGGAATAAAATTAAAACCATTTCTATTAGCATGAAAACTTTTTGGAATTTCCGGAATTTCTAGTCCTGAACCATGTGCAAAAGCATATTTTCCAAATAGATTTCCTTCTCTACAGCAAAGGAGCATGATTCTAAGCATGAATAGAAATGAGGAGCCATGCTCCTGCCCGCATGAGTTTTCGTAAGACAGATTCATCCCGTTTTGAAAATGGCATAAAAATCCTGCACTATTGTATAAAAATACATTGTTGACATGACCAAAGGCTCAAACTGTCTAAGCATTAAAAGTATCTTTATTCACTAACAAATGTCCTGTTCAAGCAGAAAAAAATATTTCCTCTAGCTGTATATGGCAAACTACTTTACATACTGTCTCCCAAATGGGCTGGCCGTGCTGAACGACAGTTGTCACACTTTGTGAAAACACCACCTTAAGTTACTGTGATGTTTAGTAAAAGGGTCTAATTATTATTATTATTATTATTATTATTATTTTATTTATTTTATTTTTTTTGAGACAGAGTCTCATTCTGTCTCCCAGGCTGGAGTGCAGTGGCACGATCTCGGCTCACTGCAACCTCTGCCTCCCAGATTCAAGCGATTCTCCTGCCTCAGCCTCCCTGTTAGCTGGAATTACAGGTGCCCACCACAACGCCCAGCTAATTTTTGTATTTTTAGTAGAGATGGGGTTTTACCACGTTGGCCAGGATTGGTCTCAAACTCCTGATCTCAAGTGATCTACCTGCCTCAGCCTCCCAAAATGCTGAGATTACAGGCGTGAGCCACTGTGCCGGGCCGGGTGTAATTATTTTTTGAAGCTTTCTTTTGTTTTTCAGAGCACATGAATAATTCTAAATCTGTTCGTAACCTGTAAAATTATTTCGCCTTCATAAGCAAGCAAAATTATTAGATGTCTTATAGTCATCTCCAACCTTACCCTACAGTCATCTACTGTGTTTTTATTTACCACAGACACATCAACATTCATCACCATAAATAATATTTTTCTGTTGCAAATTTGATATCACAGGCAAAAGAAAAATAATAAACTTCTTTAAAAGTTTATTAAAAGTTTATTTAATAAACTTCTTTAAAAGTTTATCACAATGAGATGGTCTCTTGTCCTTATTATAGTCAAGTCATTTATTTTTATTTATTTATTTATTTACAGTCAAGTCATTTTAAAACAAGAGTCTCATGCTCTGGAATGCCATACTTTCCTTTGTGCTCCTCAAATAATTTCGTAAGTTCCTCCATATAGGTCTGATGTAACTCCTCAATCTGCTCCTCGGTCGGGTGCAGAATCTGATGAACAGGGATCGGGCGGCCAACTGCAAAAACAGGGAATACATCATACGTGAGGAACTAAAACCACTCCACCACAGACCGCCTCCCCTAATGCACAGCTGTGAGCACAACTGCCAATCAGAATCCCTCCAGCCTGCTCACTCCAATCCTTGTTTCATTTCACTGGCTGCCTGCAGTGGTCACACCACTCCATCTGATAACAAATAAAGAACTTTCCTCCTCAGCAGACACTGGATTGTCGGGACCCTGGTGGTTTTGACTTTGAGTCAAATGAGCTACTGTGCTGACTGCAGCTGGGAGGTGAGTGGACATAGCTGTGTGTCCACGTCACCAGCTTCCTCCCTCTGGGACAGTTGACAGCCAGACCACAGTGCCCTGATTATTACTGACTGTGAATCCTCACATCACATGGCAGTCCTCTAGTCTGACTCTTTTCTTCTTTTTTTTTCTTTTTTTTTTTTTTTTGAGACAGAGTCTTACTCTGTCACCTAGGCTGGAGTGTAGTGGCGTAATCTCGACTCACTGCAACCTCCGCCTCCCGAGTTCAAGCCATTCTCTTGCCTTAACCTCCCACTGAGTAGCCGGGATTACAGGCTCCCACCACCATGCCCAGCTAATTTTTTTTTTTTGTATTTTCAGTAAAGACGAGGTTTTACCATGTTGGCCAGGCTGGTCTTGAACTCCTGACCTCAAGCTGGAATTACAAGCGTAAGCCACTGGCCCAGCCTAGTCTGCCTCTTTTGAGTGTCTTTCTGAACAACTAAAAAATACATATCTTCAAGCTAAGTATCTATATTAGAGAAATACACATAAATGACGTGGATTCCATTGTTTCTAATAGTGGATAACTGAAAAACAACTAATGTCTCAATAGAAAAACTGTTAAATAAACCATGTAGTAGTCATTAATAGAATCCTAGGCAGAAATTTTTAAACAATGAAATAATATAAATATGTGTACACATACACAGGCAAATACACACAGATGTCTAAGATGTATTAAGTGGAAAAATAATTTGTAAAATAATACAGTATGATCCATTTTTGAAAAAAAAGGTTTATATTCCTAGAAGTGTTATACGTTTTTAGTGCATGGAAAAGTCTGGAAAGAGAGAGAAACATAAAAGTTCCTTTTTGGTAAGGAAGTAGGGATGGGGAAATTTCACTCTAACTGTATTATATAAATTTTCTACAAATGAGAATGCATTTGAGTTTTTCCAAATACACTAATTAAAAACAAATCTGGCAACCTCTGTACATATTTTAAAAGGTGTTTATGTAACATCTCACTTGTCTCTGATTTTTAGAAAATACAAATTCCCAAGGCATTGGGTCTTGCGTTCACTGCGCCACCTGCTGGTCGGATGCTGCTATTGATGCCAAGGGTTGAAATGATGGGCGCAGTGACTCACGCCTGTAATCTCAACACTTGGGAGGCTGAGGCGGGTGGATCACCTGAGGTCAGGAGTTCGACCCGAGCCTGACCAACATAGCGAAACCCCATCTCTACTAAAAATACAAAAATTAGCCGGACGTGGTGGCGGGCACCTGTAATCCCAGCTATTCGGGAGACTGAGGCAGGAGAACCTCTAGAAGCTGGGAGGCAGAGGTTGCAGTGAGACCAGATTGCACCATTGCACTTCAGCCTGGGGGACAGAGCAAGACTCCGTCTCAAAAAACAAACAAACAAACAAACAAACAAACAAACAAACAAAAACAGAAAATGTACAGGAAGTTCAATGAGGCAGCAAACTGCTGTCTCTGACTTCATTAGCTTAGGCATGAGGTCAGGTGGGCTCTAGGTAATGAACGGGACCCACAGTAGAGTGACCTTTGTCCTATCCTGAGTCACCCCATGTCGCATACGAGGTTCTGATTCATGTCAGTAAGAGTAGGTGGTTAGCTAAGCAAAATATGAACAAATGTTAAGTTACAGAGAAGGAAGAATGTGATAAATGACATCAGTATGGGAGCTGAGGGGGCACAGAGAAGGAGACACACACACACACACACACACACACACACACACACACATTACTGCAACATTAATATTCTCAAATTGTTAAGAATTTAACCAGATGTAGCCTTGAAAAGCTCATGTGGTTTTCTTTGATAGCTTGGATGTCACATTTATACATAGTAGACATAAGTCCCGTTTAACTCAACACAAAGAACTGGAAACAATCATCTCGCTGTCAGTTGTGGTTGGAAATATGGACTAGCAGAGGCTAATGTAGTGATGACGTGGAACTGGTTGCACAAAAAGCACCAGGCTGGGCTGGCTGTAGTCCCAGCTCACCAGCAAGTGCCCTGAGCAAGTGACTTTCTATCTGGCCTTAATTTCCTTTCCCTTTCCCCTTCCCTTCCCTCCCTTCCCTGCCTTCCCTCCCCTCCCTCCCCTTTCTTTCTCTTTCTTTCTTTCCTTTCTTTCTTTCTTTCTTCTTTCTTTCTTTCTTTCCTTTCTTTCTTTCTTTCTTTCTTTCTTTCTCTCTTTCTTTATTTCTTCTTTCTTTCTTTCCTTCCTTCTCTCTCCTTCCTTTCTTTCTTTCTGTCTTTCTCTCTCTTTCTTTATTTCTTTCTGTCTTTCTTTCTCTCTCTCTCTTTCCTTCCTTCCTTCCTTCCTTCCTTCTTTCTTTCTTTCTTCTTTTTCTTTCTTCCATGGAGTCTCACTCTGTCAACCATGCTGGACTGTAATGGTGCAGTCTAGGCTCACTGCAGTCTCCGCCTCCTGGATTCAAGCAATTCTCATGCCTCAGTGTCCCAAGTAGCTGAGATTACAGGTATGTGCCACCATGCCCAGACAACTTTTTTTATTTTTAGTAGAGACAGAGTTCACTATGTTGGCCTTGCTGGCTTCAAACTTCTGGCTTCAAGAGATCTACCAGCCTCAGCTTCTCAAAGTGCTAGGTTGGCGTGAGCCACCACAGCCAGCCTCTGGCCTTAATTTTCACATGCATAGGACAAAAGAGTAGAACTCCAAGATCTTGAAGCTTTCTTCCAGCACCGAGCTTTACTGTTGTTTGAGGAAGATATTGAGAAATCTACATGCAAATCTACTAGCAAATCTGTGGCTTTATCAAAATAGCTTCTGTTTTCTTAGTGAAATTATTCCAGCCAGAGAGGTCAGGGTGGGGGTAAGAGACCAATAAAAAGACATAGTGGTCTAAGAAGATGAAGTGTGTTGTTCTCCACTTACTTTAGTGAGGACTCATGCATTCTGAATTAGTGAGTCTTCTTTCCTCTGAGCTATCCTACAGCTAATTTCAATCCTGTTATTTTCTCATAGTTTTACTACATTTCAGATGGTTCTCCCGGAGAGCTCAAGCATGCTCATATAGAATGAATTTTTTTTTTTTTTTTTTTTTTTTTGAGACAGAGTTTTGCTCCTTCTCCCAGGCTGGAGTGAAGTGGCATGATATCAACTCCCTGCAACCTCCAGCCCCCGGGTTCAAGCGATTCTCCTGCCTCAGCCTCTCAAGTAGTTGGAATTATAGGCACACACTACCATGCCAGGCTAATTTCTGTGTTTTAGTAGAGACAGGGTTTTGCATGTTAGTCAGGCTGGTCTCAAACTCCTGACATTGGGTTATCCATCTGCCTCGGCCTCCCAAAGTGCTGGGATTACAGGCATGAGCCACCGCACCTGGAGTGAATTTACCCTAGAGTGAATTTATGATCATAAGACTTATCCCTTTAAACTGTGAGACAGACACAGTCTCTTGTCTTTGCCTTATTTAGTGATAGGAAAAGTGAGGAGCTGAAAGCTCCTAAACTACACTCAAAAAACCCCAGGAGATTAATACAACTTAAACCCAGCATTCCTGCCCCTGCTTCTTAAACTAACACCAAACCGGATTAAAGATTAAGAAATCTTTCTCAATTGCAATTTAGGGGCGAAGCCAGAAGTAACAGAACACAGATCATAATCATACCTTTACTAAATAACTCAAAAAAAGCCCATCTCAGGGAAATGAGGTTGAAAGCTACCAGTCCATTAGCAGTGGAAAACAACCTGCTATTGAGAGTTCAGTTCCAATATAGCTGCCCCGAATCTAACTTGTGCCCATATTGGGAATAAAGCTATTATTTATCGAGGGTCTACTAGATGTTGTTAAGTGAAATCCCCAGGATAACCTAGCAAGACAGCCATTATTGTCCGTTTTACAAATGAGAACAATGGGCACAAGAAGGCTAATTAATTAGTCAGTCCATGGAAAAACATCATAAACCTGAATGGCAGTGTCAGAAATATAAAACTTCAGGGAATGGGCTCCAGCCAAAAGACAGAGGGATGAGGCCATTGAGGTATTCATGCACCCTCTTGGCTCTAAGACGGTCACTTCACCTTCTGCAAAAAGGGGGACAGATAGAGAGAACAGCTGGTCAGGGCCTTGGTTCTGAGGGCCCCTAGCTTGCTTCAAATCCTAGCCCTATTTTCAGAGGCACTGGAACCAGCGAAACTCCATCTTGAATAGGGGCTGGGTAAAATAAGGCTGAGACCTACCGGGCCGCATTCCCAGATGGTTAAGGCATCCTAAGTCATAGGATGAGATAGGAGGTTGGCACAAGATACAGGTCACAAAGACCTTGCTGATAAAACAGGTTGCAGTAAAGAAGCCGGCCAAAACCCACCAAAACCAAGAGGGTGACGAGTGACCTCTGGTCATCCTCACTGTTACACTCCCATTAGAGCCATGACAGTATACAAATGCCTCTATGGTCTAAAAAGGGTAAGCATAAGTAATCCACCCTCCGTTTCACATATAATCAAGAAATAACCAAAAAAAAAAAAAAAAAAAAAAAGCATGCTCTGTCTACGGAGTGGCCATTCTTTTATTCCTTTACTTTCCTAATAAACTTTTTTTCACTTTATGGACTTGCCCCGAATTCTTTCTTGCGTGAGATCCAAGAGCCTTCTCTTGGGGTATGAATCCGGACCCCTCTCCTGTAACAATATCATAAACTACCCCTAATCCCTTAGGCCCAACACTCCATTACTTGGGGTCTCAACCTACATCAAAGA